TGTTATCTCATTAAATACTATCACGAACAGACTTAAATGTCAGATAAACAAGATTATGCATTAAACTTTGCCTATAGATTATCATTAACCAGTTAGTGAATATGGACAAGAACATACATAGTAAAGCAGATACAGCATTTTGATTCATGCTACTTAACTGACCAGATTACATAAAGCATGCACCAAGCTTATGTGAAGAAACCTTACTGACGTACTCTTATTATGAGTTGGAATTTCAGCCTGAACTTTTAAATCATAAAGTTTCCATGGAAATGTTTGATGGTATAGGTGGTTGGAGAAATTGGTATTTTTACATATTAAATAATTACTGATGGGATATAAATAAAAATAATTTTTTTATATAAATAAATACTAGTAAGTCATAACATACAGTGGAATTAGATAGAACCATAATCAAATAGAACACCAAGATATACATAAAAAATTCCTTCAATGTGAAGGATAAAAACCACGGGACAAACTAGAGATAATCCACTATAATAATAATGAATATATAAATCTCAATCTCTTGCCCAAAACCCTAGCAACAATCATAAGAGAATAATTGGGATACAAGGATCACTTCACTGTGCATAATATCTAAACCGCCCTAATTCTCCCCAAGTAATCACAATAAGAATCTACTGAGATGAAAGCACTATTAGATGATTGAGAACCGTCTCTGTGTGTTGTCCTTATCTTCTTTCCTTTCTTTCTCTTCTTTTTCTGTCTTGTTCTTCTCCTTTTCTTTGGAATCCCATGGCTGCCAAAAACTGTCTACTTGCTGCCTTTTTCTACCTCTTTTTATAGCCATCACACCTCCCCAATATAAATTAGGATTAGATTAAGAGGGGGTGAGCTGTGGGCTGATAAAGCTCACATTGCGCTGAATATGGGTTATTAGCCCAACAACCTCCCCCATCAACCCGTAAGGGAGGCTGTCCCATGACTCCTTAATGTGAAGCTACACCGACCAGTTGTCAGTATATCTCCTGTCTTTCTTTTGGTAAGGTCTTTGTCAAAATGTCTGCTCCGTTGTCATCTGTGTGAATTTTCTGAAGCTGCAACAGCTTTTCTTTTTACTTACTTTCAACTACTTCCTGGTAACTCTCTGGTACACCTACATCAATAAGCATCACATACTCATCTATAGAGTATCTTCTGGAAGGTTGACGTTGTCTAGAAAATATTCTCAACTGAGGTTTTTAAGGAAGTTGCTCTCCAACTTCTTCTTGCTCAACATGTCCTGCAAGTAGATTAACATAAGGCTCTACACAATCTTCCTGCACATCTTCCCCATCACCCTGATATACTGGAGGAGTAACTAGGTCACAATCTACTAATCTTTCTGCAGAAGTCTTGGCCGGTGTCTTCTTCTTTAAATTTTCAAAGGTTTGATCCTAAAAAAAGATTACATCTCTACTTCTGAACACCTTTTACTTTTTTTGGATCTCAAAGCCTGTAATCAAACTGATCCCATTATCTACATCTCTACTTTTCTGGATCCTACATCTTTACATCTCTACTTTTCTGGATCCCATAATCAAACTGATCATGTGAGTAACAAAGAAAAATACATTCTTTAGTCTTACCATCCAGCTTGGACCTCTTATTGTCTGGAATATGTGCAAATGCACGACAACCAAACGCTCTCAAATGCTTGTAGGAAATATTTTTCCCTGACCATGTATGCTATGCAACATCGCCATCTACGGTTGTGCATGGTAACAAGTTGATCACATCTCAAAGCCTCATCCCAAAACCTTTTGGGGAGTTTGGCCTGTGAAAGCATACATCTGATATTTTCCATGATGGTGCGATTTATCCTCTCTGTAATTACATTATGCTGAGGTGTACCAGGAACTATCATCTCATGTTGGATCTCATGTGACCTACAATAATCATTAAATAATCCTGTGTACTCACCATCATTATCTAATCTTATGCATTTCAATTATCTTTCTGTCTCCCTTTCAACCCTGGCATGAAACTCTTTAAAGACATTAATCACCTTATCTTTGATCTTCAAAGCATAGGCTCACACTTTTCTGAAAAAATCATCTATAAAAGTGATAAAATAAAGTGCACCACTTATACCAAGAACATCAATAGATTCACCAAGAGTTTTTGTCCTCAAAGGACCACATACATCTGTATAAACATGGTCTAGGGCATGAATTTTTCTAGACATGGCAGGACTAGCAAATGAAACTTTGTGTTGTTTACCAACCAAATAATCAATACAATGGATCAAATGTGTACCTTTGAGGTCTGGCAATACCTCTCTCTTGGAAATAGCTTGCAGCCCCTTCTCGCTCATATGTCTCAATCGCCTATACCACAACTTTATGCTGAAGTCTTTCTCTGTAGCATTTAACTGCTCACCATAAGCTTTGACCTACAACCTGTATAAGGTACGATATTTCTTTCCACTAGTTATAACAAGAGAACTCTTACTGAGCTTCCATTGCCCTCTATGAAATCTGCTATCATAGTCTTCATCATCTCGTCTTCCAACTGAAATTAAATTCAGCCTCAAGTCAACCACATGTCTCACATCCTTAAGCACCAACTTACAGTCAAGGTTGGTCTTTAAATGGATATCACTCATGCCAATGATGTCTGTTGTGTCATAGTTGCCCATCTTGACAACACCAAAATTTTCAGACCTATATGTAGTAAAAAACTCTCTCCATAGTGTAGCATGATAAGAAGCACTTGTGTTGATTACCCACTCAAGATCCTGACAAAAAAAAAAAAAAATCATCAGAAGAAAAAGATAAAATCAAATAATCACCACCCTGCACTATAGTTGTGATATTATCTTTTGACTCTGTAGACTCCACTTCTTTTCCCTTTTTTTTTTTCTTCTTAGGTTACTTACATTGGTTCTTGTAATGTCCTTTGTTACCACAATTATAGTAAACAATATCTTTTCTTGATCTTGACTTGCTTTTACCTATGAACTGCTTCTAGACTTTGACCTTCCTCAATTCTCTGAGATAAGTGTCTTCTGATATGTTGAATTCTTTCTTCTCAACTCCTGACTCATAGTGACAACACCATCTGGTGTAGAATTACTGAGGGAAACCACTAGTGTCTCCTAACTTTCTGGTAATGAACTGAGAAGTAATAATGCCTGCAACTCATCATTAAGAGACATTTTCATAGAGGATAACTGGTTAGTAATGCTCTGCATTTCATTCAAATGCACAGCAATAGAAACACCCTCTCTATATTTTAGGTTCACAAGTTTTCTGATAAAAAAGCTTTGTTACCATTTTTTTTTCCAAAGAGAATATGCAGAACTTTCAGTAGAAACATGGTGAAAGACATTATCATCAAGTCATTGTCGAATAAACCCAACTGTTTTTCGATCTAACCTCTTCCACTCATCATCTGTCATAGTTGTGGGTTTTGCACTATCCCCCCTGCAAAGGTCCATACAAATCTTTGCAATACAAGAGATCTTCCATTCTTGATTTCTATATCATCCAATTGTTTCCATTTAAACTAATCAAGTAAGAAACATTATTAGCCTCCATATTCAAATATAAAATTAAATCACTATAACCCTATTCTAATACCAGTTGATGAGATATAAAGAGAAATAACTTTTGTATATGAACAAATACTAACAGGCCATAACACGCAGCGGAATTAGATGGAACCACAATAAAATAGAACACCAAGATATACGTAAAAAACCCTTTCAATGTGAAGGGTAAAAAACCACGGGGCAAACTAGAGATAATCCACTATAATAATAATGAATATACAAATCTCAATCTCTTGCCCAAAACCCTAACAACAATCATAAGAGAATAACTGAGATACAAGGATTACGTCACTGTGCACAATATCTAAATCCTCCCCAAGTAATCACAGTATGAATCTACTATAGATATGATCTAACTTGAGATAAAAGCACTATTAGATGATTGAGAACAGTCTCTCAGCTTATTAGAGGGGATAAGCTATGGGCTGATAAAACACATCTTGGATTGAATATGGGCTGTCAGCCCAACAATCATCACGTATTACTAGAGCATGTGATGTTCTGCCCTTGTTGTTTGATCTAGCAGTTTCATTTCCTTGCATTATTAGGCTATGGATGATAGTATATATAAACTATATATATAGAGCATGCACTTACATATCTATGATACTCTAGATGATAATGTATCCTCAAAAGAATGCTGCACACAGAAATAAATTTTCAGTAAAACCTGAGATCCAAAGCATCAAGGACTATGTAGTATCTGAAAGAACTTTATCAATGATTTCTTCTTATGTATCTTAGTTTTAGCTTTTAATTTGACTTTTCATGGATTCAGCATCTCAATTCTGGATAGTTCAATGCAGGGTACTAGTATTTACAGAAAAAAAAAAAGGAAAAAAAAACTTGATCTCAATATTGATTGCCATAAAATTTTGCATGTGGATCATCATACCATTAGTAGATATTACCTAAAAATATAATATCTAGTCCATATCTTATCATTGTCAGAATCCGGTGCAATGTAAATTACTCATGACAAACAAGAAAGTACCCCACAGTTTCCTTTTGGAACTAACTTTCAGCTGAACTAGGAGTTTGCTCATCATTTTCTGCTTCTGGTTGCTGATCTAGTAAGTTTATTTTGGTGTCCCTTGAAAGTTTGTTGTAATTTGGATGCTCCTTCAAGTTGAAAATTTTCACTTGTATAGGTCTTGGTAGTTACATTATCTCTGGGTTAACTGGTTGGACATATCTGAACAGGTCTCAAATTCGATGCACAACTCTGATTGGCTTTAGCCATTTTATATTTGGGACGATGGTCCTAGTTGATAACATAATGCATTTAATTCATTAATTTTCTTTTAACATCATAGACGAGAAAAAATATTTAAAGAACATTGCAGTAAAATGACTTTTGGCATAGAGTTCCTATTGACCTTGAATTGTTTTTGGTATCTTAAGGTCTACCCTTGTTGTGACCCATCTAATTTGTGTGCAGACAGATCCTCTCTTTATAGGAATTTCTTGCCGGGTCGTGAATGTCAGGCCAACAGCCTTTTTCTTTTTGAAGTGCAATCTGGAGGCGAAAGAAGTTTGTAAATTATATTCCAGTGCACAAGATGGATACGAGTCTACTCAGATTTTCACAGTTCTAAGAGTTAGCACTTCTTTAACCACACATTATACGCTTCTTCATTTTATCTCGATCCATGTTACTTTTACTTCCAGTATTTAATGCTCACAAGTTACAAAAAAAATCAGGATGATTTGAAACAAATGGCAGTGAAGATGCCTGGTTGCCATCGTGGTGGATATGCTCTATATAAGCTGATGATGGAAGCTACTAAAGACAGCTAGAAATTACAAGATACGGTCCGTTCATTCCACGGTAACTTATTGCATTCAATTGTTTCTTTTATCCATTTGCTTCCAACTGATGCTTGATCCTCTATTTGGTGTTGAACCATTCTTAAGATCCTTCTGTGGCAAGAAAAACGAGATCAAGTAAACTTTGACCTAAACACCAAGTGCATGAGGCAATTCCAGCATGTTTTCCAAGCAAATGGACCTACTCCCGATGAATGGGATACTGGTTTCATCTGATGTTTTCTATATGTTAACCTGGTGGTCATAAACATGTTATACTAACAGCAAGGAAAGAAATTTCAATCACACAGATGATTGTCTTTGATGATAAACCTTATTTCATTTCAATTCTTGAGCAAGATACACTTTTCAATATTTTATTTTCCAGAACAAAAACAAAAAAGAAAACCTCACTATATGTTTTAGTTGCTTTGATTGTTTATCTTCATCTTAAATTTAATCTCTAAATAGTGTTTCTTGATGTTCTATGTTTACTTTTTGAACATTAACTTGTTTCTTGGTGCAACCTATGACTGCCAAAGATCTTACTGTCTGTCACCTCGGTGTTGTTTCGGCAACCCGAGTTTGGAACTTATCTTTTCCTCTTTTCTTTCTTTATACTATGATATACACCGGCATATCGTGCATGGATATGCCGGTGTATATTGGTATGGGTC